AACCCAAGACTGATAAACTTTCTGCAGCATACCAACCAACCAATAATATGGTGGTAATGGCTGCGCTGTAAACATTGTCGGTGTGAGCTCTTAAGAATTTTATAAAATTTAAGTGGTAAATATATATCAGTTAAATTGAAAACTTGGTGTGGTGTTGAATAAACTATAAAGAATCTGTTTGTGATATAAAAATTGTAAGAAAAACATAACATAATTATTAAAACTGCACTTTTATCGGGTGTGTACATCCCTAACAGTGATGCCAGATAAAATTTAAATTCGATCTTTAGAAATGAGCCAAAGAAGTATAAACATTTCGGGGCTGGACGAAACAATGGTGGAATCAATATTTAATAAGTTAGCACCTAAATTCACAGCCAAACTTGAAGAATACATGGAAAAACTGAGCAACAAAATGGATACAATGGAGCAGAATATAAAAGAAATTATCTCAAAACTGACTTTATTGGAAAATAAAGTTAATAATAATAAGATGAAACTTACTTACATGTCATGTGGTTTTGGAGAGCTAAAAGATCATGTTGAATTTAATAATAGAAATATCGATGATATAATAACAAAACAAGAGAAAGAAGAACGAAAGTCAGTAGAAAATAAACTAAGAAAATGAGGACATAATGACAAAAATATTGTCATTATTTAACCAAAGTCTGAATATTAAATGTGCACTGTTTGAAATTGATAACGTGTTCAGAGTAGCGAAAAGAGATTCTTTCTAGGGCTGTTGTTGTACATTTTGTGGCCTCATTAAAACGAAATGAAATCTACCGTAAACGTTCATCACTTAAAGGATCCAATGTCTTTATCAATGAAGAATTGACACCCAGGTTACATAAATTATTCTTAATTGTCAAGAATAAATATGGACACAAAGCTGTCTGGACAAGGAACTCCAGAATATATTGCAAGAGTGGCAACGCTGTCCAAGTTATTCATAAAGAAACGGACTTTTGTTTTTGACATCATTCAATTATGATTTATGGCTAAGTTCGATTTTTTCTGTTTTAAAGGAATTTCTTATAGTAAACTGGTTAATTTAACTGTAATAATGATAGTTATTATAAGGCACCACTATTTTGTTTAATCTTTGTCAATAAATACGTGAATATTGTTTATGCTACACTCTCTACATATCTATGTTCAGAACTGTAGGGGACTCAAGAGTAAGTGTAATGATTTTTTTAGATCTTGTCTTAATGAAGACTACGATATTATAATTGCCGTCGAAACATGGTTACAGGAGTCAATGCATAATGGTGAAATCGTAGACAATAACTCATATAATTTAGTAAGGGCAGATAAGAATTTGGTAATAACAAATAAGAGAACAGGTGGTGGAGTATTTATCGCAGTTAAGAAAAATTTTAAACTCTTAAACATAATAAAGTATAGTTATATTTTTGAGGCAGTCATTGTAGAAGTTCAGATTAATTTTGTGAAATATAAATTATGTGCAATATACATTCCATCAGGTAGAGCATTTAAAACATATTATGAAATTGCTATATAATTTTTATTACAGAATCATTTAGTGAATTTTGACATGAAAAAAGTATATATTATGGGGGATTTTAACATCAATAGTATTTCAGGTATAAACTATGATCGTTCAATTAATAATAATATTTTAAATCATTTTCAAGATTTTGTAGATTTTAATGGATTGAAGTTATTCAATGACATAAAAAAACTTTCAACGAAGAACGCTAGATTTAGTTATAGGTTCAGAAAATAATTTTAATAAATCTCTAGTTCAAAGATATTCACTTCCCTTCGTCAGTGAAGATTTGTACCATCCATCTTTAAATATCACTATTAGGATTCCCCAATATAAATATGTACAAAAAGAAGAAATTTCAAATCTCGGTTACAATTTTAAAATAGCTGACTTTAATAGACTAAGTCTAAGAGTGAGAGATGCAGATTGGAGCAAAGTGCTTGATGAGCTATCCAGTGTGAATGTCACTGAAGACAAATTTTACATTAAATGGAATGATATTCTGGATGAGTGTGTACCTAAATACAATTTGAAACGCGGTTCATACAATCATAAACCTTGGTTTTCAAAGGAAATTAAAGACCTACTCAAAGATAAAGAAACATATAGAAGGCTGGTACATCATTTTTTTTATGAAAATAAATATAAGGAAATGAGGAAAAAAATAAAAAATTTGACTAGAGAAGAAGAAAGAAAATTTATCAATTATATTGAAGATGGGATAGGTACAGATATAAATATATTTTGGAATTATGTGAATAATAAAAAAAGTAGTAATTTCACTAGTAACCATTACCTATTTAAAGGGAAAACAATTAAGTCTAATGAAACTGCAAATGCATTCGCAGAATTCTTTGCATCAGTACATTCAACTAATAAACCTTATAATGTAGCTTGTGATTCTGAAAAATTTACAAATAATGCTTTAAATTTAAAATTAATAACGGATTTAGAATACGAAGAAGCAATTAAAAAACGGAAACCAAAAAAAGCCGCGGGACCAGACGACATGCCTCCATATGTTCTGAAGGCCTGTAATGAGTGGTTAAAAAGACATTTACTTCACATCTTCAACTTAAGTATTGCAACAAATGAATTTCCACACTGCATTAGTTTCTCCTACATTTAAATCTGGAAATAAAATTGAAATCGAAAACTTTAGGCCCATATCACTTTTATCAGCCCCTGTTAAATTATATGAGCATATACTGTATGCAAGATTATATCAACATGTTGAGAGCAGTCTGGTATCCCAGCAGCATGGTTTTTTCTCAAAAAAATGTGTAAGTACAAATTTGTTTAGTTTTGTAACTACAGCTTATGAAGCACTTGAAAACAAAATCCAACTTGATGTAATATTCACAGACTTTAAAAAAGCATTTGATAAGGTAAATCATGATGTCCTGCTTTTAAAACTGAGTAAATTTGGTTTGACAAATAGTACTCTTACACTATTTAAGAGCTACCTAGAAAATAGATATTCAATTGTTAAGCATAATGGGAACACATCCGGAAAATGTATAGCATATAGTGGAGTGCCACAGGGCTCCAATTTGGGAACTCTCCTTTTTTAAATTATTATCAATGATTTACCATCTATGCTGAGGTTTACAGACTGTCTTCTATTTGCCGATGATCTTAAAATTTAAAAAAAAATACAAACTGTTAGGGATTGTGTGAGTTTACAAAAAGATATAAACAACATAAATGAATGGTGTTATAAAAATAAATTAAATTTCAATACAAAAAAATGTAGTATTATGACAATAAGTAGATTGAAAAATCCTGTTATTTTCGTTTATCTTATAAATGGGTACTCAAACGACGTACAGAGGTAAAAGACTTAGGTATAACCTACAATTGTGTTCTATCTTTTTCTAATCATGTAAAAAATATAGTTAAGGCTGCAACTAGAATGCTTGGGTTCATAATTAGGCAAACTAGAAGTTTTACTAACATATGATCTATAAAAATTCTTTATTATGCTCTAGTTAGACAAAAATTTGAATTTGGAGCTTAGGTATGGATGGAGGAACATCCAACTAATCTATATGAGATTGAAAAAATACAGAATAAATTTCTTAGATATCTTTATTTCAAAAAAACTCCATATATACCCAGACTACAATATTGTTAGAACTGCAAAATTAAGAAAAGAATTTAAAATACATTCGCTTCACACCAGAAGGAATATGATAATGTTGACTTTTTTATATAAAATTATTAACTATAAAATTAACTCACCTGAGCTACTATACTTAATACGATTTAATGTACCTCCGAGGAGAATGAGACATCCATGTATCTTTAATATTCCTTTAGTTCTTACCACTGCCAGGTCAACTCTTGTGACCATGCTATGATTGGCAAATAATATTAACACTTGTATTGATGTAGATTGGACACTACCATTTAATATGTTCCGAAAACTTGTATTCAATTATTACATTACTCTTGGTTATTACTTTACTGAATAAGTTGTAATATTAGTTGTAATTACCTACTGTTTATTATTAATATTATTATTTATGTATTATGATAATTGTATCCATGTAATAAGGCCGTTGGCCTGTTTGGATACAAATAAATACATAAATTAAATTAGTTTTTAGAAATTTGAAATTATGCTTCTACTAAATTATAGTTTGTTAATATATTTCATCGTATCGTGTCAATAACCATAGCTGTTGAGACACGTTAATCGTTAAATAAATAAATTTTTAAATCCCAGATCATGACCCATCAAACGTTGATTAATCAATTTTGACAACAAATAATTCGTCATTAAATTAATTTTGATACATATCATATTTATTATGTATTGTACATTCAATGTACGTTCTTTCATTATGTATGAATATTAAAACTTTTATTTTATTTATTACATGTATTATGTTTCTTTTTGTTCCTTTGACATAAGTATTTGTCAAAATAAATTATTAAACAATTAACAGAGGTTTCTGGATAATCTGTATTTTCAATTATTTGGCAAAGCCTCTGTCCCGGCTGGCCCAAATAATCCAGGTTCTGCTGTACTCTAAATATTATTGTTTGTAACTGATTTAGAGTATTTTTATTTTCATTTATTAAAATGGCCATATTTGAGCAGTTGAATACACTCTACGAGTTAAATAAAATTAATATAATTAGATTTCTTCCAATTTCAAATTTGTTTCATCTAAAATATAAAATATTATGTACTATACTTTCAATAAATAATTCACAAAAATGTGTTAACAATAATAGGGTTTCAACCTAGGTAGCATTTCAAGTATTAAAAATAAACTGCGGACACCAAAATGTAATAATTTCTGCCCATTCCCATTAAACAATTTTTACAAAATATATTTTATACATAAATAATAAATTAGGTAGTTTATTTTAAATTAAAACTCATATTTAGTGTATTTTAAGCAAACAATTTATTACCTACAGTTCATTTTGAGAAGCAATCTACATATTTTAAAAATATATGTATTATAGGTGTTGTTACCAAGGCCTTACTTTAGATTGTGTTGCATGTGTTAATATCCAAGTATTTTTAGGATTTTTAGCTATTTGCATTTGCTTATGTCTTGGATGTGTTTTACATAGAACGAATAATCTTTCTTCCCTTCGAACAATGAAACAATCTTTACATCTTCTTCTTACTTTTCCCATAACTTTAAATCCACAAGTGGGAACAACAGCTGCAGTATTGGGTTCCAAAAATGTAGATTTTACTAGATTCATGTTGTTGATACCATTAATACAATGAAAATTTGATGTAAATATTCTATTGGATTGGCTTAACCTTTTGGAGGCATTTAAAATTGAATTAACTAAAATTGAAAGCATTCTACTGAAAATAAATTTAATTAGTATTCATAATATATTAATAAACATTGATCAATTACTTTTTTTGTCGAATTTAAAGAATTGTTTCAATGTAACCTCATTTAATAAATTTCAAAACATAATCGTAAATCGTATAACCTATAAATATGCAGAAATGAAATGTAGACCGTGTAGATCACTAGAGAATTTACTAGCGCGAGACACGAGCACCAAACCTGAAACGAAGAAAACCGAAATTAGAGCAAACATTTGAAAATAGTGGATTTAAAAAAACCGTAATAAGTCTCAAAATGAGTGCTAAGCTAAGTTGAAATCATGAAATAAAAGAAGTTAAAAAATGTATTTAAAAAATGATCCCATAATCATCTGCTTTAAACTTTAAGGTATTTTTCGCGGCATAAATCAACATGTACGTTTATGATAGATTATGCTATTTAGACGTATCTAATACGTCTATACAGTGAGCATCATAAGTCTTATCCCCCCTAACTAACTCGTTACTGGGGTCTTGTTAGGAAAATCGCCGAGACAGGTCGATTTTTGATTTCTACAATGTACATTTTTGCATGATTAGTTTACCCTTAATTTCATCCCTTACTGGATGGTAGCAACCCTTTCGAAAAATTTAACCCTTTAACGCGCAAAACTATTTTTTGCCAGGTTTTCAAAAAATAACGATATGTGTGGGTTATATAAGTAAAACTAAGTATATTACTGTGTCTTAAAAAGAATTTGATAATACTCCCCCAGATATCTTATGCAGTGCACAAAAGGCCACTGAAAATTTATTGCCAGAAAAATCTGCATATATTTATCAGCAAAAATACAATGCATTTATAGAATGGTGTAGGAAGAATAAGGTGACAAAATATTCGAAAAACGTTATTTTAGCATATTTCTCTGATGAATTGAAGAATTGCAAAGCTTCTACCCTATGGTCGATTTATTCTATGCTTAAAAGCACCTTAAAATATAAAAACAACGTTGATATTTCGAAATTCAACAAGTTAATAGCATTTCTCAAACAAAAAATAAAGGTTATAAACCAAAAAAAATCCAAAATTTTTGAACGAGAAGATCTAATTAATTTTCTGTTGGAAGCTCCAGATTCCAAGTTTTTAATGATCAAAGTAAGTAAATGCCTCAGTAAATGCTTGAATGCTCAGTATAAAATTAAAATATTCTGTAAAGTTTTGCAACGAGATGTGTGTTCGTATGGTGTGTTGCCTAACAAAATCAGTTGCTGTCCTAACATTCCACCGGGGTTGTTAGGCAGCAAATTATACCTAAAACTTTTATATTTTTTACAATAGCATTTATTTGGAGTTTTACATGCGCAACGTCAAGATATTTCCTAATGTTTAATAAATTATTTGTAACATTACAATATGTTATTTTTTAGGTAACTTTTATAATTGGAATTGCGGGAGCTTGTCGCCGGGAAGAATTATGTAAAATGACAATTAACGATGTGGAAGATAAACAAACAGTGTATATTGTCAAAGTATCAGAAACCAAAAATGGAATAGAACGCATTTTTACGATTTTAAATCCAAATAATTCTGCAGTTGATTATTTATCTTTCATAAAAAAATATACCTCATTAAGACCATCAAATATAAATTGTAACAGATTTTTTTTAAAATTCGCAAATGGAAAATATTCTAAACAGCCTGTAGAGATAAATGCTTTTGGTAAAATGCCAACTGTTATAGCAACGTATCTAAACTTGCCCAATCCAATGGCTTTTACAGGACACTGCTTTAGGAGGTCTTCAGCCACTATGCTGGCAAATTCTGGAGGAGACCTTCTAACGGTCAAAAAACATATGTAGGATGGAAATCATCTGCTGTTGCAGAAGGCTACGTAGACAGCACAATAACACAAAAAAACAAAATTTCTAATAAAATTTTGATGGATGACAGTATGCCATCCACTTCCAAACAAAGCTACAATTTTACCGTTGACAACTCTAATGAAGAATTAGTGGAACCACTCGACAGTGGAACCACTCGACAGTGAAACTAGAGTTATACAAAATATTTCAACCTCTTTACTTGAAAAGGCCAAATCCATACTACTCGAAGCTCAAAATAGGGTTACAGAAGTAATATCACAACATTTTTCAAACTCTGTGCTGGAAAAGGCCAAAACCTTAAGTTTTGGTAATTGCAATAATTGCACATTCAATATTAATATTCATAAGAGTTAAAAACCTATTTTTTTAAATATTTCTTCATTTGTTAGTCATTTTGTTCTGTAAGAATTATAAATTTGTAAAGTTCCAATAAATTTATTTTTGTTGCTGTGTACAATTTTTGGCACATTTTACTTTTTTTCACTAGTGCGTAAAGTAAAGTACTTTTTTTCACTAGTGAAAAAAAGTAACTTTTATATTTCTAATATTAGTGGATTATGTGTACGGTAGTAAAAAAAATATTGTATGCCACTCGTGTGTAAAGTCCCTTTTAAGGGTAAATTTGCATTTTAGTAATTTTAGAATATAAACAATAATTATTAAAATACAAACTTTGTCAAAACCATGAGAGTAAATCGAGTGTTATCAAGGGTACTTTTTTGTAGTAAATGAGTACCCAATCCAAATTTCATACTCAAACCCCTTTTTTTGCCATTGGCGTAGAATTTTTAAAGGTGCAATTATTTAAAAAATCAAGTTCTACGCCTATGTATTATTATCGGATAAAATTTTATACGATGAAAAACATAAACATGTACTTTTTTCATATATTCTTCAACACCTCTAATCAAGATTTTTAACAAAAATACTCGATTCTTGCCATGTACGATTTTTTTGAGGAATATTATTTGCCTGCAATACGTACACAAAAACATTTATTGTTGGTTCCCATAGTTTCATCTAAATAAAAATATTGTCAAGTTTTAACACCTAATCTCTTGTTAACGATTGAAAGTGTTCTATCTGACCCAATAATTAAAAAAACAAATGCGTGGTTTATTAATATGGCTGTACAATATACCAGCACAATATACCGATATGTTACTGACTTTAGGATTTTGTGAAGGAAATGCTCGAGAGAGTGTCAGGGTGTACTCTGAAAGGTTTCCAAATCGTCGTGTACCTAGCCACCAAAGTTTTGCTGCTGTCGAGAGACGTCTTCGGGAGACCGGTTCCTTTGCTCCCAACACTGTTGATAATGGAAGAGAACGTTTTGTAAGGATTCCTGAAGTTGAAGAAGACATTTTAGAACGTGTTGAAGAAGATCCAGAATTAAGCACCAGACGAATTGGAAGGGAACTAGGAGTAAGTAAAGATGTCGTTCATAAAGTGCTTAGAGAACAATTGCTATATCCATACCATATGAAGCCAGTACAAGAATTATTAGTCCATGATCCTCAAATTCGTTTTGGTTTTTGTCGATTTGTTAATATGCAAAGAGAAAGAGATCCAAACTTTGACAAGAAGGTTCTCTTTACCGATGAAGCGGGTTTTACAAGAAGAGGTATAACTAATACCCATAATGAACATGTTTTTGCCGTTGAAAATCCGCATGCAATAAAGGTAAACCATTTTCAGCACGAATTTAAAATTAATGTGTGGGCTGGAATATTTGGTAATTTCATTGTTGGTCCTGTCATACTTCCACGAAGATTAACTGGAGAAAATTATTTGGAGAGATATGTGGTTTATGCAAGATGGAGCTCCACCACATTTTTCTTTAAGCGTTAGAAACCACTTGAATGAACAATATCCACACAAATGGATAGGCAGAGGTAATGACGCACCTGTAAACTGGCCACCACGTTTCCCAGACCTAACACCGATGGATTACTTTTTATGGGGACATCTGAAATCCACAGTTTACAGGGAACCTGTAGAAAATGAGGAACAACTCTGGAAACGTATTCAAGATGCAATAAACAATCTTAGAGGTGATGAAGAAGTTATGGAAAGGATACATTTTAATTTTCTTCGACGTATAAATCTTTGTATGCGTGAAAATGGTGAACATTTGAACAATTTTTGTAAAATCTCTATTTTGATTATGTTGTAAATAAATATTTTTGTGAAACATATACACTCTAAATTATTAAAACAGAAATTTAGCGAAAACCATGAGAGTAATCGAGTCTTATCAAGAGTACCTTTTTTAAAGTAAATGAGTTGCGCAATCTAAATTTTATACTCAAACTTCTTTTCTTTCATTGGCGTAGAATTTTTAAAGGTGCAATTATTTAAAAAATCAAGTTCTACGCCTATGTATTATTATCGGACAAAATTTTAATACAATTTTTTTGCCACATAAAACTCTACCAATATACCAAATTTCAGCAAAATCGCATATACCGTTTTAAATTTATATAAGAAAAACGATTTAAAAATTGTAACTTCAAGGCCCTCTGGAGCCCAAACGAAGCAACTTTGTACTAAGGTAATTTTACTTAAATCGACTTATTTTGGTCTAAGGAATATGTGGTATGTTTTTGTAAAGACCCTATATTGATCTAGACTAGATTAATAATAAAACTATTTAAAACCAATTCAATTATAAATACATATTATGTCATATAAATTGTAAAAGTAGTTTGAGCAAAGCGTTTCCATTCTAGGGTTTGGGGTTCAAGTCTCGGCTAACTCCATTTTTCAGAAATATTTTCTCAGAAAAATCAATTTTCTTGTTATTATCTTTAAAATAGTAAGTTTATCTTCATTGCTGTCATAGAAAAAATATACTGCATAACTCGCGTGGATAGTCCGTATCGCACTCAGACAATTGAGCACTCCGCCTATGACGTCGTGCACAAACTTCGCCTTCGTGCGATATGACCATCATATACACTTTTGTTACTCGAACTAAACTATTACCTACCTAGGTACACGTACAAAAATATCGTGTAATTTCTAATAAAAACACTACAGTACTTATCGCTATAAAAACAAAATAAACGTAAAATGTTGACTGCAGTACTTCCAATTTTAAAGGCTTTGCTTGAAAAGTGTTACTAGTTTGAGTAAGAGCTATGGCTCTTTGAGTTTTCATGTCATTTCTTTTATAAATGTAATCTATCAATCCAGCTTCGCGGGCCTTCAATAGTTTCTCATTAAATTGTTCAAATAAAGGATGTCCTTTCCGAAAAAACCAATAAAAATAAGATCTCATATGATCGCTTCGAAGAATATAAATCAACGATTTGCCTTCGGAATCTACCAACTCTTTTGATATGTAATATTTCACAGTTCTTAAGGTATGTATACCAACTAAATCTTTGTTAAATGCCGTCATGTACATACAGCTTATGGTTTGATTACAAATTATGGGATCATACTTATTTAGCAATTTCTCCAAAGGCTTGTCAGATGCTGCGTTATACATAAAAACACCTTTATTTAACACAATTCTTAATTTATATTTGAAAATGTCTTGTTCAGAACTGATTCGTTGGTAAGATTGGTCTGTGTTCATAAAATTGAATTGCTTACTTTTATAAAGAGTTGTTAAAATAAAGGAATTAAATAAAACAAATAGAAACAAGATGTTGAAAGCTTGCGAATCGGATTTAATTGGCGACGTTCCTTCTAAAAATAGTCGTAAAATATTGATGAATAAAGATGAATTGTGTTTAGCGTTTGGTAAAATTTTTTGGATCATATATAAAATAACGTAGCATATTACTATAGAAGCAAATAAACAAATCCATACTGTTAAAGTAAATTCTTCGTAAAACATTTTCCAGTAATCAGTTACACGATTTCTAGCAACTATAAATGCTCCAACGTCATCCATGATAGGAATCGTTATATCAAAATATAAGTATTCGTTAAAAAAACTAATTAGTATATTAATTGACAAATCAAACTTTCCATTTCGTACATCCAATAGCATTCCAGTTGTTTGCCCATTTTCATCTACAAAACCAATAGTATCGCTTAAATTTGACAATTTATAATTAGGTTTAACCTTAAGACTTGATGCTATTAAATTTACTATCTCAGTGTTCAAACCTTCTTTTGGGCTTATTACATAAGGTGGCTGTTTTTGGTATATTATATTCAATTCCCTAATCTTCTCTCGTATCGTATATCTAAATGCATCAATCCGGTTGTTGAAACTATCGTGACACTCCAATGCATTTATAATTTTAAATTTTCGCTTCTTTACAATTCTACTGTTATTAACAATTCCTTTTAAAATAATAATCACTTTGTAAATGAAATTATCTTCTAGAATTTTAAAGGTTGACATTTTCAGCTTATTTGTTAAAATTATAAACTTACCTCGCGGGTTAAATAACCCTTTAAAATAAAGTTTTTTTATTAATTCTTCAATATTTGGCGTTTCTTTCAATACATACACATCCGGTTGAATTGCAAGTTTAAACACGTTTTTTAAAGTTTCAGTAGTGTTAAATTTTATAATCGGTAAATTAATATTTAAATCAACATTTACAGAATAAATAACTTCATTGTTTTTGACTGTAGTAAATAAAATATCATTAACGCAATCTTGTGATAATGCATCAGACGAATTTGAAGGTAAACGAAGAAAGTTTAAAGAAGAAAATTTAATACAACAAAAATATAAAACAATCAATATTTTAATCATGCTTATTATGTTGCGTTTGTATTCTCATCAGTTATAAAATAAACGTAGATACCTATGTCTAGTCTGAATATAAAATGATATGAACCTAATCGACCATAAATTTTATATCTGTAGTATCTTCTACTAAAATAATTTAGTAGATGGAATGGAATTACCTATTACACGGATTGTATTTTGTTACAATGATAGTGGAAGCTTTCCCTTAACGGCCCCACTGCTTTTCTCGATCAACAGAAAGTTTTTAGTTCGTTGCATCCCAACTAGCTGAATTATTAGACTAAACCAATATATCTATAAATATCTTCTTTATTAGAGCTTTATAGATGTTATTGTTAAAGGCTAGCGGTATATTGATTTATCTATAAGAGAGATCAAACCTGAGTCTTCATTCATTCTCCTGTACAATTGATCATCATGCATGTTCTGTTATATATGGTTATTAATTCAGTGTGACCTAAAAGATCTATTGTGTCCCCTTCTATCGCTAATGAGCAAGAAAATAGTCTCGATGCCTATAACGACCCATCCAATCCTATCTTCTCAAGAAAATGTAGGATTTGGATTAGTTCCAAATTAGGTAAATCATTCTCTATTTCGTATACTTCCAATTATATCGTCCTTGAATTCTGAAGATGTCATCTACATTTTCCATTTTTGTTTTAATTATACGAGTGTTTTGGGCGTGCGGTTCCGTGCTCGTGAATTCACTGCGGATCGTGTGAATAAAATGCACCGCATGAGGCATTTGGTTCGGCTTCGGCTTGCCTCATACGCGAACGTGCTCAGATCTATACCCTCCTTTAAATGTGTTGTGTACAGTCTCTTACAAAAATATCATTTTTTAGCATTGGGAATCTCCAATGAGGTTGAATACTATGGAGATGACATGCCAAAAAAAAAACGACGATCATGTCATAGTTGTCAAAGAGCTGTCAGAACTTTGTTCAAATTTAAATATTTCGACGTTATTTCTATCTTAATAAGTGTTTTTTTTTATTAATTTGTATAAAAATCATGACTAAGTGTGCCAAAATTAATTGTAAAAACTCTTCAGTGAAAAAGCGTAAGAAAATATCTAATTTAAGTTTTCATAAGTAAGTATAAGGAGTGTACTTAGAATTTTTTTTAGAATGATTAACTTTTTTTTATTATAGGTTTCCAAAAGACCCACAATATCTCAAAATTTGGTCTAAATTTGTGGGAAAAGACCAATTTGAGCCTAAACCGAATAGCATGTTGTGCTCTATTCACTTCAAGGAAGAAGTTTTTGATAAGAGTGAGTTTAGGGTCAGATTGAAGAAGAATGCTGTTCCGACAATAAATGAATGTTTAGTTAGTATACACTTTATTTACAATAAAACTTAAATAACTAACTTAATAAAGAACATTGGCTTGACTAACTTTATATTAAAGACAAATAACTACATTAAAACTTAGATAACTATAATAAAACTTAAACAACTAACTTTATAATTAAACTTAAAAACCAACTTATAATTACACTTAAATGACTAACTTTTTAAGTAACACATAATTTAGATTAAAATTTCAAGTATTTAAAAGCAGTTTTTATTAGATCCTAATTTCCTATTATTATACCGTTTTGATAATGAATATACTGGTATAATAATAAATACTGGTGATGTATTTTTATTATTTAATTAGATTTGTGGCCATCACTCACTCCTATGTACCTCCTCATCCTCATGATATAAAATAATATGCCCGCTCATGTACCACATTACAATTATTATTAATATTAAATGAACAAACATTAAATTGATCTTCCTTAATTTAAAAACCTGCCGACTTTGTTCACAATACACAATAAATATAATTTAAAACATATTACGAAGTTAATGATATTTAAAAATTAGTAGTTTTGGAACTTAAACTAGTAGTTTTTGTATCATGGATCTATATTTAAGGCTTTATAACATACCAAATCTTGTTCCAGACTAACCCATCCATACCTACACCTCCACCTCCAAAAATCAGGATCCTATCAAATATTCTTATTAAACCAGCAAATCAAACCAGTCAGATCGAATTACCTGTACCCTCTACTTCTTCTCTAAATATTCCATATGAAGAACCGCTGACGCCAAAGAAACAAAAAATATTACATACACTCTCCTCTGTCCGGGCAATTTTTTGTAGTGTCTTATTAAGAATGGGACACAGAAAAACTGAAGAGTTACCTATAAATTTACCAAATTTGGCAAAAGTTTTTGGTGTCATAAGATACGTTACACTTATTTGAACTATAATTATATATTTTTTGATGTTTTTTAAGTAAATCATGTAGGTACTTTTGTTGGGAACTTATAAGAAACTTCAAAATTAAAATGAAGAATATTCGCATTCTAAGCATAGTCTTATTTTTAATCAGACTCTTCAGTTGTTCTGTATCCCTTTCTCAATGAGACACCTTGTATATAAACTTCCCACTTGAACAATTTTATATTTTTCAAGTATGTACAATACAGGTGTATCAGAAATTAAAGCAAAAAGACAACTTATAACAAAGGTTTAAATTTAGTAACGTCAAGTCATCCTTGCACCCTAAAAAAGTACCAATGAAGAAATTATTCCTCCAATACAACCAAACAGTTATTTTTAGGATAAGATTTTGTGTCAAATGTTATCCACAGCCACAGGGTTTCTTTTTAAATGGCATGAGATTCAAAATTTTGGTCAAAACAATTTTCATCATGCACTTTTCTTGGAAATTCACAATGCTTTATTAGGATTAAAAACACCAGTTTCTAGAAACTTTTTCACTATAACACTAATATTACTGATCAGAAAAAGTGGTTAAAGTTTTCTTTTTGTAATCACAAATCGCAACTGAATGCCTATTTTTAAAATAAATTATCTCTATAATTCCATTTGTATAGTTGTATGCTGTGCATCTGTGAGATTGTTGTTTATTATACATAGGTACCAATTATAGAAATCTTTAGTAAGTACTTGCTTGCAATTTTAGTAATATATGTACCTACCCTATATAATTAATTATTTCAAACATAAATAAAACCAACAACTATTATCTGAGTCTTTTCAGTTTGGTTTTGACAGAGTAGTTTTGATCATGGTTTTCTTCCATCTACTTTTAACCATAAAGTCATACCTAGCTGAATTTTTGGTCTTTTTAAACTTTTGACTGTAGCGAGTCATATTTTTAATGTATGTCATCTGCAGCAGAAAGACCTACAGGTTTTATCTTTAAAAGTAATTAATTGTCCTTTCTACAAACTCGGCTGTATTTTTACTGAAATATATTTATTCACAATTCATGTAGTGGTTTGGTTTTTGGTTTGGTAATTTGGTGTCATAATTCTCCTCATTGTCAGATTTTGACATTGGCAGCTTTGATCAAGACTAGAGAGTCCTTGAACGAAAAATCGTAGTTCGGGTTTAAGTTTTAAAGCACAAAGAGATTAACAAATCTGATGCACAGTGTTATTCGAACGTTGATTTTCGATCACACAGGTCATATATCGGACGGTTTCGGCGAAGACAGAACAATATAATAATATTAATCTCTTTTATGGTCTTGGCATTGACTTGGTCGGAAAACGGTTAATAAATAATAGTAAATAGTGTAGAAGTCATAATTGCGCAATGTCTTCAAATTAATTTCGAATCGATCATGTTGAAACAAATCTTAGGTAAGTAAGTCATTTAAAAGTTGTAATTCTGCATACGGACTTTAATTATATTTGAATACGACCCTGCTTAGTCAACCATTTAAGCCACGCCCAGTGGGGTCATTTTTAATAAAACGTATCATATGCAAAACAATTGCCTCATGGCATGCATCTCCATTAGTATTATACCTCCATGGGAATCTCGAACTTTTAATATTCACCATTAGGCGATATTTTTGTGTACGTCTGTCGCGAGTTAACTACCTTAAATGATATAAAAACATTTTCATCCAGCCAGTCTTCAAATATAAAATTATTGATTTCAAATAAATCAAAGTACGACTCTATGTCGCCATTTTGATTACACTTTTCCTTCAGCCAAGCATCGCTAAGTGCGTCCATCTTTCATATTGCAAAATAGTGTTTATGTCTACTTCATTCTATCTCGATAGGCATGATGATTGTTGGAAATACTTTCAACACATTTCATTAATACATCAGGCTAGCCCTATAGAATATTACCAATAAATTTTTAAAAATTATCAATAGTATTCGATAGTAATTTTTTGAAGATCAGTGCTACCGGTTATTTTGCTGTGTGGGTAGCTGTGAGCATTAGACTATGCAATGGGTTCTCCTAACTTTAGTTGGTGTACTAAAGGTCGGGCCGGAATTTAAGTTTTCCAATACCTAAATATAAATAAAACTATAATAACTGTGCAAATCAATCAAATTTATTTTAACCTTTTAAAAATCAAACTTCAGCAAAGACACTTAAGAGACATGTAAGTAGTCACAAAGATAGAACTGATTAGTTCTCGTTACAGAAAATAATTAAAATATATTCATTTATGCATTAATTGAGTGAATACAATAAGTCATATACAAAGGATCATCCAGCAGCTTATAAATAAAATATTACACTAAATGCTGTAAATAAATAAGTTATTTAAAATGATGACGGTTAGATTTAACCAGGTTAAAGCCAAAAGAACAAAGTATAACTTTCCTAAATAAATGCAAAGTTAAGAATCAAGTCAACGTTATAACATCGAGGACTTAATATGTTATATAAGTTGCAACTTATTAAATCCTAAAAAAAATTATCAAGCCTACACATGGACATTGATAAAGTTCAACAGATACATCAAATTTAAATAGGATTTCAACTCAAACAATCACTAAAATTTGACAAAATAATTTAGTATTAAAGTTACTGAAAATAACAAAATGTAATTCGTTGGAGCCAAAACAAAAACCTATGAGTCTATGCTCAAGACCACACTAAAAATATATAAAAAAAGTTACTTAGCTTAAACAGTAGATAAACGATCCACGGAGCATCCG